AAGAGGGAACCCTCATACACTGCTGGTGGGAATGCAAACTGGTACAGCCACGCTGGAAAACAGTATGGAGATTTCTCAAAAAATTATAAATAGAAATACCATACAACCCAGCTATCCCACTACTGGGTATCTATCCAAAGAACTTGAAATCAATAATCCAAAGAGATTTATGCACCCCTATGTTCATGACAACATTATTCACAATACCCAGGATGTGGAAACAACACAAGTGCCCTTCTACAGATGAATGGATAAAGAAGATGTGATATATATTCACAATGGAATACTATTCAGCCATAAAAAAGACAAAGTTGTCCTATTTGCAACATGGATGGACATGGAGGGTGTGATGTTAAGCAAAATAAGCCAGACAGAGAAAGACAAATACTGCATGATTTCACTCATATGTGGAAGATAACAGATACATGGATAAAGAGAATACATCAATGGTTACCAGAGGGGAAGGGGGTTAGGGAGTGGGCTAAAGGGACAAAGGGGCACATATGTATGGTGATGGATAAAAATTAGACTACTGGGGGTGAGCACAATGAAGTATATTCAGGAATTGATAAACAATAATGTACACCCAAAATTACACAATGTTATAAACCATTATAATCCCAATAAAATTACTTAAAAAAATAAATAAGCTATAAAAAAAAGAATAGAACAAGCGTGGTTAAGGATATTTGAAGTTCAAGCAAGATCAGATATGGGAGAGCATTTAGGTGTGACAAATTAGCATATTTCTTCAGAGTCATAAAAATTACATATCAGGATCCTGAACAACCTTGCAAACATAAATGCAAAATCACAGTCTTGCCTAAGTCTTAAAGAGCAGCAGTTATTTTAAAAGGATAATCAGAAAACATAAGATTCTGGAAAGTCTGACAAATCTCATAATCCACTCCAAGAACCATCATGCTATGCTACGTTCGGAGGACAGGGTTTAGTTAGATGGCCATTTTCAATTCTCAAATAAATCTAATCATAATCCAACATTCCTTGGATAAGTAAATGTTGTAGGCTCAGGCTAAATAAGATCTTAATAAGCTCTTTTGAGACCAGGAGTGAGAAGTGAAGAAGTGAGCTGGCCCTGGAGCACAATCATTGGCTGTAAGTAATTTAATAAGAGTTTTCATACATAGGGCGAGGCTGTGGATGAGTTGTACTTATTCTTCCTAAGGCTGTACTTTAGGAAGTAGGTTTAAATTCTGAATGAGTTTGGCAGGGAGATGTGCATTGCTAACCATTGGAATTTGTAAATATGTTTAAAAAGAGATAACCTCTTATTTATACAGGATTCCAGCTCAGGTTCTACCTCTTCCAGGAAGATATTTCCTCTGACATCCATAGGCCACATTTATTTAATCTTTCTATGAACTTCTATTGCCCTTAGAGTTAATAGCATGCAGGTTATCCCAAAATTAATTGTTTTACTTGTGTCACCTATGTGCAAAGAGCAGGTTAGATATTAGAGGAGATACATAAATGGAAAGGTAACTGGGTTATCATCTTCTTGAGGTCTGGAGAAGGTTTCAATGTTCTGAAAGTTGAGTTAGAATTTATGAAGGAGAGAAGAAATTTCAGTTAGAATTTAAGGATTCTAAATACAGGGCCTGGAAGTAAGCCTTGGCTAGACTATACAGTTTATGGTGGTAAGAAGCAAGAGATCAAGCTGGCACTGTAAGTTGGGGTCAGATTGTGTACAACCAACAGAATGGGAGAAAATATTTGCAAATTATATATCTGATGAGGGACTTATATCTAAAATATGCCAAGAACTCTTACAACTTAGTTATAAAAACACAAATAACCCAATTTAAAAAATTATCAAACGATCTGAACAGACTTTTATACAGATAACACATACATATGGCCAATAAGCACATGAAAAGATGTGCAATGTCGTTAATCATCAGGGAAATCCAAATGGCAATGAGATACCATTTCACACTCATCAGGATGGCTATAAGAAAAAAGTAAGATAATAGCAAACATTGTCAAGAATGTGGAGAAATCAGAACCTCAGGCCCCACTGGCAGGAATGTAAATTGGTGCAGTCACTTGGAAAACTATCTGGTGTGCTTCAAAAAGTTAAACATAGAGTTACTATTTGATCCAGCAATTGTACTTCTAGGTATATATCTAAGAGAAATGAAAACATATGTTCAGATAAAATCTTCTATATAGAGTATTCATAGCAGCATTATTCATGATAGCCAAAAAGTGGAAACAATCCAAATATTCAACTGGTGAATAAACAAAATGTAATATATCCATACAATGGAAACTTATTTAACCATAAAAAAGAATGAACTCCTGATACATGCTGCAACATGGATGAACCTTGAAAGCTTGACACTAAGTAACAGAACCCAGAAACAAAAGGCCACATATAATAATATGACTCTATTTATGTAAAATGTCCAGAATAGACAAACCTAGAGAGATGCAAAGCAGATCAGTGGCTGCTTAGGTCTGGTGGGGGGACTGACAGTGTGAAGACTTGAGGGATGACAGCTAAAGGGTACAGGGCTTCTTTTGGTGCTGACGGAATTGTTGCAAAGTTGAATGTGGTGATGGCTGCACAACTCTGAATATGCTAAAAGACATTGAATTGTACACTTTAAAAGGGTGAATTTTATGGTATATGAATTAGATTTCAATAATGCTGCTATCAGAAAAACTCCCTAAAACTCTATAAACTTGAATATAAATTGTAATTATCAATATGAAACAATGATGTATTTTATCTTTAAAATCTTTTCCTACCTGTGTACACTGAAAATACCTGAAAACAATGACCAGCCCAATAGTAAAGACTACAGTTAGTTCCCAGATTGTGGTTTCTACCGTTTACATTAAAAGGAACTTGTGTTTTTTTTTTTTTTTTGAGAAATGGCTGATTGTAGATATGAGACAAAAAGAAATATACAAAGCGAACCTGAAACATCCTTTAGTATTGGAAAGCAAGGTAACTATCAAAGACTTTTGGGCCATATCAAAAGAACTCAGGAGGCAACCTGAATAAGCTCACACTAGTCAAAGGGGGAATAATTTGAACATCAATTAAGACAAAAATTACAATGGAGTAAGTCACATCAAAATATGTTTAATTCCATGGGGTTTATAGTGGTACTAAAAACAACTCATTAATGACTTTTTGGTGATTCTATTTATTTATTTACTGAAAACTCCTAAAGAGAAAGAATCAAACATCTGTCTTCCATTCTTATATAACTGTACCTCAGTAACCAAATAATTGACGAGGGGACATTTTTCTATATAGAAGTATTCTAGCTAATAAATGAAGAAGAAATGACAAATATCACTATTTTGCACTCCCCAATGAATTAATGGGTCTATGTAATAATCATCAACAGTTGATAACATCATGAAAGAGAGACAACGTGTACCTCCTGATAGAAGTATGCAATATTACCCATGAAGGAAATCTACCCAGAAAAGAAAAAATTAACCTGAATCTGGTAAAGCATCTAAATTTACCTACCAATTTATAGGAAATACAAATGACAAAGGAACTCAATAAATGACATCACTGGAATGTAAATAGTATAACAGACTTTAGGAAACTCTACAGGATAAATGACCTAGTATCTTCAATAACAACCAAAAGAAATACGAGAAACAAAAACAGAAGGAGAAGGCTTTAATGGGCATAACAGCCATTTCCATGTATGGATTGGATCCTTATTTGGATCCTGATTGAAATGAATTACCTGTTTAAAATATTTATAGGACAATCAAGGATATGTGAACACTGTCTGGTTATTTGATGATATTAAAGAACTATTGTTAATTTTATTGGGTGTGACTATAATGCTTTCTAAAAGGACTCCTTGTGTTTTAGAGATACATGCTGAAATATCTCTATGCTATGAGATGGGAGGACATGTAGGATTTGCTTTAAAATATCTGAGGGAGTAGTGGGTAAGGGTATAATGAAACAAGCTTGTCATGTGTTAATAGTTGTTGAAGCTGGATGGTGAAATGGGTACATTGAGTTTATAATACTATCGCCACCACTTATGTTTGTGTTTGAAACTTCAAGACTAAAATTTCAAAATCAAATTTGCAAAAATTAATAGTGAATGTTTTTAGACCCCATGACCAATAAGACATAATTTGAGGAAAAGGAAATAAAGGAACAATCCTTGGCAGTTCTTATGGTTAACTTACAGAACCACCATTGCCTTTCTACTCTGCTGGGCAACAAGTTTAAGTCACTAAGCTCAACTGAGCCTCACCAAGGATGTATCAGAGCTACTGAATTAATAATTCAAAGTCAGAATGTATCACAAGTTAAACTGTTTATGTTTATTTGTTTGAAATACTCAATTCATTCATTTCCCATGGGTGGCAAGCATTTTGCCTGTGGGTAACAGCAGGCAATGGGTGTTTCAGCATCAGTGAAATTCTATTTAAAAAATTAACTGGAAAGGGAAAGGACTTACTTCATTAAAAACCAAAGAAAGGAGAATCAGAGTACAGATTTAATGGAATGTGGAAGAGTACAAAAGAAAAGAAATGCTCCATTATCAATTGTCAAAGAATGTAAGCTGACAATGAAATAGGGCAGACTTCTCATAGTTATGAAAAGCCTATATATTTAGAAAAATGAATAAGCTTATTTAAGGTATAGGTAGCCCTTTAGAAAGGAGAATAATTTACAAATATTGATGTTGATTTATTTCCCCAAGTTCAGGAGACATTTTATGATTGTAATATTGGTTTTCAGTATTCTGATTTTTTGATATACTGAATTATTTTTAAGTAATTAAATATTGATATTTATGTTGATGTAATACCATTATTTGATGCTTTGAAAAATACAAAAATCTCACTTATGTCTTCAATTGTACCATAGATGATCATTTTCAGACCAACAAAATATATTCAAACTTTTCTAATCATATTCCTCCTTGTTTAAAACCTTTCCAAGTTGTAGTCTTATTGTTATTACTTCTATTTCCTAGGCTGCTGAGGCTGAGCATCTTTTGTCATGTCTGCTAGTCATGTGTATTTCACCAGAGTCACTTCAGACTTCTATCGGCTAAATTTGTATGGAAGGCAGAATTCTAGGACGATCCTCAAGATTCCCACACCCTGGAGTTCATGCTTTGTATAATCCCCTCCCCTTGAGAGTGGGTGGGAATTGTGAACTTGATGGGGCAGTCACTCCCTTGATTAGGTTACATGATATGACAAAGGTGACGGTCACTCTCATGATTGCCTTATGTTACATACACTAATCTCATGGTGGACTGGAGAAAGATGCTCCTGCTGGCTTTGAAGAAGCAAGCTGCCATTCTGTGACATGGCCAAATGATGTATTGCCAAATGGCCATGTGATGTATGGCTGTATGGCCACGGCTATTACCTGAGGGCAGCCTCTAGGAGCTAAGAGTGACCCCCACCAACAGCCAGCAAGAAATGTGGACCTATGTTCTCAACTACAAGAAACTGAATTCTGCCTACACTGTGAGTGAGCTTGGATGAACACTCCAAGATCCAGATAAGAACAAAGCCCTGGTCAACATCTTAATTTCAGTCTTGTGAGACCCTGAGCAAGGAACGCAGCTATGCCATACTGGACTTCTGACCTAAAGAACTATGAGGTAGTCAATGAGAGTTGTTTTAAACCACTAAGTTTGTGGTAATGTTACACAGCAATAAAAATGTGTACAGTTGATGTTCTGTTAGAATGAGGGAATTGGTGTGGATGTTGGAACATTATGGAACGTGAGAGGGTGGTGTGGTCAGCAAATTATATGGGCTATAGAAGAAAAGAGGAAGGAGGTTCTCAGGCCCAATTCCCTGCTGTTTCCCGGAGCCCAACTTCCTGCATTTGCTCAGAGCTAGATTCCCTCCACTTCGTTCCTTTGATTTTCCTTCAGGAAAAATCCATCTGAATCTGGCCATTTCTAGCTTTAAATAATTTAGCCAGACCCTTCTACTCCAATTATTCCCCCTGTGGTTCTGGACCCTGATTCTCACATAGGTAGGTGCAGTATCTGAGGGCTTTGCTTTGAAATACAAAGTGACACTCTTATGCGATTGATATTCACCTACTTGGTTGAATAACTTTGTCTGTTGAACATTTTGTATGTATTTGTCTTTTTCCACATCAACACAAATATAATTTGGATATAATATTGTAGGAAATAAAGAAAAACCTAGTATTGTCATTTCAGTTTCAGTATTGCAATCACTAGCGACATCTATTAATGATCCTCCTACCATTAGAGAGTCAAAAGAGCTTATTTTCTTTCAATTCATTTCTTTAATAAACATATAGTAAGTACTTACTACACCATGGTAGACACACTGGAGGGACATAAAAATGAATAAGAACATGGTATCTGCATAGGACACTAACTAGTAACTAGTAAGAGGGTAACTGCATTGACCCTCCTCAATTTCACTGCATATCAGCTTGAGCGCTGGCATGTCCCCTGAGTCCTATGGGCTTCAGTTTCTTCTATAAAATGAAAGGGATGGTGGATGATCTCAACGTGTCTGTCTTAAATGTGATAGTGATAGGTCAATTGGCAGGGACATCAGCAGGAGACCTAGTCTGGAATTAAAATGCAGCACTAATAGAGCTTCCTGTGGAGGTAGAATTGAAACTATAATATTGAATTTCATTAACATTTGGTGAAATATAAATTAAGACTTTTAATGTCTATCAGATTGTCAAAAAGGAAAATGTTGATTATATCCAACATTGGAGAATATTTTGGGAAATAAGCACTCTCAAATACAATGGTTAAGAGGGCAATTTGACAATGTCTGTCAAAATTTTAGCCGTGTATACCCTTTGACTCAGCAATTCCACTTCTAGGAATTCATCCTATAAAAATATTCTAACAAGTACTCAAATATTTATTTACTAGGGTATTTATTGCAGTATTCGTATAATAGCCCCCAAACTGGAAATAAACTGAATGTCCATTAGTAGGAAATTGTTTAAATATAGTACGCTAATACAGTAGAGTGCTATACTCTTGTTAAAAACAATCAGGCATAGCTATATGTATTGACATGGAAAAGTGTCTAGGACATGTTGTTTATTGAAAAAAGAAAATTACAGGCCAGAATTTAGACCCCTGATGCAAACATCAGTGAAAAAATGGAGCCCAAAGTAAGAGGTATGGGCTAACATGACACCTGCATCCATCATATGACCACTGAGAAGAGGGCTGCTTATATTTGAGAATCATGAGACGTGCTCAGAGGAATGTGATTCGATAGGGAAAGGATTCAACATGATAAAGTTGGGAGCAGGAGAAATAAGTCCACACTGGTATATTCCTAAGATTCAAGGGCAGACAGCTGAGGATAGGGGTTTCCTGGGGATTTTGATGCTTTATTGAACTCTGATCTAAAGATGGTTATTATCTCCTGTGATTATGGGTGACTTTGATCTCTATTTCTGCTCCAGGAAGCAAAGGTGGCTGCAGAGACCCGTAAATCCCAGCCCCTGAATCAGAAATTATCCCAAATTAAACTTATTCATAAAATTTGTAGAGATATGACCCTGTGGGATATGTTTGTGGGAAAGCAAGAGGCAGTTGCCTGTGGCTAGACTACAGGGTGAAATGGAACCAGTATATATCTATTCCCAGTTGTTTATATTTATTGGAAAGAATATTGGATCCAGAGTCAGAATATCTTGCTGGGCTTGCATCCTTGTGCTGTTAATTACTAGTTCTATGGCCTCAGGTAAATAATGTAATTTCTTGGAGCCCAGTGTCCTCATTAGTAAAATAGAAATTTTTAATAAAGCCTATTTTATTAAATAAGCCATTATATAGTAAAGTGTTTGTCCTTGTGCCTGACATGTCATAAGACTCACAAAATGGTCACTAGTATTAATCTTTGAACAGTTACCATGTAACAAGTACTGTGGAAACACTTCTGTATTATTTTATTTAACCCCACAAAACCTTTAAGGTTGACATTATATTTGATACTTTACAAATAAAGGAAACTGGAGGCTAACTGCACTTAAGTAAGTGGCTGAGTTGAAAGCTAAGCACCAGGCTTTTAAGTTATTCTAGTATACTATTTGTCCCCTCCTTCTTTCATATGAGAAAAGAAATGCCCCAAGTTATTTTATATCACAGAATGTTATCAGTGAAAAGGGAAGGAAGAGAAGAAACAATAAAGGTGAATTATTCATCCTTTTATATGGTGATCTGGGTGGAGCAGCTCAATTAACACATAATCAATCATAATCTCTGTTCAAAGGAGGAAATAAAGACACTGTCTTTCATCAGTACTTATCAATATCTTTTACAGAATATGGGGAATATTTGATTCCTTTTTAATAGAATTTATTTATACATCTCTAAAAATCTGTTTTACACATATGTCCAGTTTCTTTCAACTAAAATATATGATAGAATCTGCAAAATTTTATACCCTTTGCTTTTTCTTAAGAGTGAGAGAAAGAGGAACAGAGAAGCTGTTTCAGTTATTTCTTCATTTTGGTGGAAAATGAGTTTTTGAATTGTGCCAAATACAATAGTTATGATCAAACTATGCTTGCATAGAGGGAATTTTTATTTCCCTTAAAAAAAAAATCTTGAGAAAGGAAAAAGGTTCCTATTTCACTCTAACTATAAATCTCTTCCCACAGAGATTTGTTCTCACTTAATGCCCCTTTTTAGAAAACGACACTACATTTTATTGAAGGGAACAGTGGGAACCATGTTGCCTCCTTGAATATCTGTCACTCAAAGCTGCTGGCTGGGGGTGGAGGTGGGAGAGAGGGTGCTGAAGAGAATCAAGAGCTATGGGAGAGTGAAGAAATTTCTTGGGAAAGATGTGAAGGAGTCACAATTAGTCTTGGAAACCATGGTACTCATCTTCTCTATGGTAGGGACATTTGAGTCTTGGAAAAGATGCCATATTCCTGGTAAGAACAGTTTGTGCCCAGACTGTGTTTTCCCTAGAAGATAGGCAAAGACATTTGGAGAAATATGCAAGTACAGCAGGACTTTTTGCTGGGGATTTCCAACAATCAGGATCACTGCAGTAGCCTCTTTCTGCCTCTCAGCTGTAGCTCATTCTCGTAGTGCTGCCCCGACAAGATGAAATTGTGGGTACTTGAGCAGTTGTGCTAAAGACTGTCATGATGACTGAATCTAGGATTGAAAAAAACCTTACAATTTCATCCACAAATAGGAACCAGATGGAGTGTTTACCATGCCAAGAAGACAATATCTGAAGGACTCAACTTGGCTGTTTCAAATGCCCTAATTCATTTATTAAACATTTGTTTTACACTAGTAGTTGAAGCTTCGAAGATGAATAAGGCATGGATCTTTGCCTTAGAAAGCCAAGTGAAAGAAAAACATTTATTTAAATAATGACTTTCAATAAGTGTCATAACAGAATTTGTATAAGCATTAGGGGTACATAGATGAGGTAAAAATAAAATCTTCTTAGGATTAAGTTGAGATTAGGTGGTAGAACAAAGTTACAGAGAGATGGTTGTCAATACTGTGAAGGATCTACAATTTTACCCCACTGGAAACCTAACAAGTTAGCCTGCTACAGTTTCATGAATGTAAGCAGAAAACACAAGACTTCTGGGTCAGAGACAAAAAGCTTCATTACACGTGGCACTGCAAGCAACATGAGCTTCATGCTGGTGTTGGCTCTCTTTTTCACCCAAATCTCACAAGAGCGATGCAGAAAAGCCAAAGGAATGTGATACATGCAATGGGTTTGTGTCACAGCTGAGGAACCCCAAGATTAGGAAATCCAAATCTTTTATAACAGGCTACAAATAGACCTACCATGGTCTGTCCCAGGGGGAGATATTATCTGTATTATGCTAGACAGTAAACAAACCTGCCCTCTGCTCCAAAAGGAGAAACTATCTCTACCCTTCCAAGGCTCTTTGCTATATAGACACTATTGAAATGATAGTCTGGAACAAAAGCTACCAGTGCCTCTGCCTGCAAGATGTGCAGAAATGTGAGAGAACCATGCGGAATTGCCTCCCAACAATATCCTCCTCTTGTTCCCACCCCATCTTGGCTTCTGATGAATTTTCCAATGTGTATAGACATTTTAATTGATCTGAGCCATCTGAGAAAGCTACTTCTTGACTAATGTTTCTCTTTTCTCCTAAAGTAGAGCCATAGCCTTAGAGAGGAAATTGGGAAATGAAAGAATAAGGCTATGCGCTTACCTTACAGGCCACAGTAGAAGTAAGTCACGGCCATGAAGACATTGGGAGGACTCCAGGGTGGAGGGGAAGATCATAGCCTAGAATAGTGTCTGGCCCATTGCTCTGGGTGCATCTATGGAATGTGGAGGGGTAAGTTTGATGGTTTATTTCAGCTGAATTGTCCTAGGATTGCACACCTGCTCTATTTCCTTTTGTTTGTTGGAGTTTTTCAAACGATAAGTAGCCAGATGTCAAGCTTGCTGTGCAGTCATTGGCCAACACCATCCCTCCTTCCTCAGTGAGATGACGGGGCTGCTGCTGCTGTTGCTGCTGTTGTTTCAGTGATAGGTGTTTTGCCAGTCATGGACAAGGTTATATGACAGTGTAGTGAGCCCAACCTAATCTCTCTTTCCAGTCCTGAATGCTCGCTGCCTAGCAGATGTCATTCCCAAGCAAAAGGCAATGAGCTGTCTAGTAAAAATTACCAGCTGTTGAATTCTCTCTCATCTTAAACAACTAAGATGTCCAAACTGGTTCTTGAACTCTTTAATATTTACTTTGCATGTTTTAAACACGGTTATTTATCAAACTTTCCTGCCTTTGTTCCAACATGCCCTCCCTCATCCTTCCTTTTCTCTTTCTCTTTGTATTACCAATCCTGCAGATGTTCAGGAGTTACTTTCAGAAAGTGGTGACTACCTTTTTGAAATAAAGAGCCACTCTGCCTATCTTCCCCTTCCAACGGGCAGGCAGCCCAAGATTCCATTTGTGGGCACCACGGATCTGTCTGCTTTGGTACACGGTGGCAGACACATTTGAAATCTGATGAAGAAAAAAGGCTGTAGAAATCAAATTGCACTTGTGAAACAAAACGGCAATAGAAGCAACTTCTCAATCTTTCAAATGTCATGCAGCTCATCTAGATTTCAACTTACCATGCACAGCCAGCTATGCCTTGATTGCAATTCCTCTTCGCTCTGGCCAAATAATGCCCTCTAGTTA